TTTGTCATGCTGCTGCCTCCCCCCACACCTGCCGTCCCCCACCCAGTGGCCCAATGAGATGCCATCTGAGGCTACCGCTTTAGGCTGCCTCATTATGGGGTTGCCCCCTGCATCTATCTATCTATCTATCTATCTATCTTTCTATCTATCTATCTATTCATCCATCCTGCTAAATTCTCCATAACATAAAATAAATAAATCCTGCTGGTATTAAGAGGACCCGTCATAATAGCCACAGGAGATATGTGGACCCAGAAACCCTCCACCTAGGAGTCCCCAATAGATGGTCACGGGCTCTATAGACACATTCACAAGGGGGGCCTTGGGCGACCACCAGCAAAAATCCAATGATTCTTGCTGGCAGGACTATACATTACAAGTACACAGTGTGCGTGTGTGAACAGCTGTGGCCAGCAGCGGCAGCTGTCAGATTTGTACTCTTTATAATATCAATGGTTGATGCCGCCACTGTTGACATGTAATTTATTTTCTGAGAGCCTTTGACCTACCCTGATTATTGCACATAGCCCATCGCACTCCTGACCGTTAAATCCCAATATAGTCCATGGTGGGGGCTGCAGTGACAAGTGGTTGGCGCCGTATTAGTGAATGTGGAAGAAGAAAAGAAGCCATCAGCACTCCATTTGTATTGCCAATAGATCTTTTTATTGAGGCACGTTCACATTATCACAAAGCAAACAACGTTTCGAAGCCGCAATGTTTGCCTGATGAAGGGAACCTATCACAATTCTTCTGACTGACCCTGGACACAGACTGTGTGCATGCAGGGACGGCTTTTTTACCCTCACACAAACTGGCTGCAGTTAATAGGGCAGTTTGCATGCGGCCATAGCACAGTTGTGTCCAGTAGCAGCGTTTTTCTGTAAGCCCTTTATATCCTAGCTTCATGTTCGATTATAGGTTCTCATACACAGGGTATGTATTCTTAAAGCTCTGCAGTAAAGTGTAACTGAACTCTAAAAGGGATTTGCAATGTTATTCGAAAAAAAATAGTTTAAGGGGTGTTTAAAAAATAAATACATTTTTGTTTAGCCTAAAATGGGCTTTCAGTGCGTTCCAGGGCGTTTGGATGCATTTTTTATGCGTTTTGGTGCGTTCCAGAGCAGGTAAAATAGGGCTTGCTGCAGTTTTTCCACATGCTCTGGAACTGAACGCTCCGGTGTGAACTAGAGCACTAAATACCATTGGAATACATTGGATGCATTTTTGATGCGTTCTGTAACTGCTCTGCATCTGCTATGCGCTTGGTGTGAACAAGTCCTAGTGAGATCATATAGTTACCAGGAAAGGTAATCAGTAAGGGTGCTTCTCAATTAAGGGGGACCAAATAGTAATTTTGTAAGTCTGGATAATTAGAGATGAGCCACACAATTAAAAAAAAAAAAAATCCTGAGCCGCTTCTTAATGCTACCAGGGATTCTAAGATAGGAAGGTTGGACTTGGTGGCGCTGACAGTCAAGCTAAGAGAGACAATGCAATAGCAGAAGCAGATATAAGGCACAAGTTGGAGCAGCTTAGGTCCTTTTCTCCTGGAAGCCTTTTGGGAATCTGAACTACTGTTCTAGTTATTTTTTTAATACTGTAATTGCAACTTACAGTATTAAACAGATGAACATCACTACCTTAAGACTGCAGCGGCATATGTGATCACTATAGCTGACCACATGCTGTGCACATGTGTCAATGTCCAACTGTATCCCTATCATCGTTGGGGGCCGAAACACTCAGCGATGCCCAGGATTGAAAGGCACCAGGCACACAAAGGGGATCATTTATAAATCATCCACCCAGCCATACTATTCTGACTCCGATTGTTGTGATAGCGATGTATCCATTGTGAGACCTCTACGCCTGGCCTGTATAAGTAGATTCAATAACTGAGGACATTCATTGTCAGATAGCTGAACTCACCAATACCGTTTCATCCAGAAAGGTTGCTTTATTCTGCACATCAAACAACAGGATACAGCAGATGGATGGTTTTCAGTATTATGCGGTCAAAAGATGATGCCTTTCCTACGGGACTATGCAGAGTACATGTGTCCTGATTACATGTGGCTATTAGCTGTGGCCATGACACAGGAAATACTGACCAACAAGAAGAAGGGTGGGGCTTACATACAGAAGAAATGGGTCATCACATGAGGAAAGGAATACATAAAAAAACAGGTGCAATATCACAAAAGGCCACTAGATGGCAGCATATAACTTTCTATAGAATGGCCATAAGAAAATGATTAAGGGAAAACAATCTATATAAAACTATCTACTAACATTAATGTAACAACATATTCTATGCCCCATTGGGGCGGCACACATACGCTAAACGAATGTCGTTCATACATCATTGCCACCACTAGATGGAGCTGAGCTACATAGAATTTTCCCTAAATGTCAAATGGTGGTTCTCAAAGGGAGTATATTTAATAACATATTCCCATCACAGGCATCATGGATGGGAATGTTACTATGTAGACTGAGTGCAGGATGGAGTTAAACAGCAAAGGAATTCCAGAGTAAGGGAAAGGCTATAAAGTCCTAAATACAGAAACATGAGGAAGTGACCAGAGTGGAGGAGAGGAGGTCATGTGAGGAACAGAGATCAAAGGTTGTACATCATATCTGGAATTTATTGAGGAAATTTATGGAGGATCCAGACTGTAGAAAGCTTTGTAAGTTTGAACTTTGAACTGTATTCTTTGTGTAAGTCATTGCCAAAACCACTCAACTCCGCTTACATTTTGGCCAAGAGCGGGCAAGACTCCGCTGTGCTGGGTTTGTCCTTGGTGGTTAGAAAAGCCAGAGATTATCTCATATCGGGAAGGACTCTTTGAGGTTCCTCATGAAATCCTTGCGGAGATCATACCGCATTTTTACTCACAATGACATCCCAGTTACTCAGCCTCATTATTCTTCGAGGAGGTCATTGTCCAAATGCTGTTGACCTGACTTGAGAATGGGAGGCATACAGAAAGAATAACATTTTGGCTATTACCAAGCAGCGAACAGCTCATTATGAAATACATGAAACAAGAATTCCACTTCTGCACATCATTCCACGTTAACACCACATGTTCTGTTGTTGATTTTGGAGTGTTTCAACCAGCTCTCCTTATCTCTCCATAAAGCCGCTCTGCTTAGTTTAGCAAGGGATGGATGTGATGAAGAGTCTTGCAAAACAGCTCACGATGTTGGCTCCTACCAGTCAGCTAATGAATTCCTGAAGTCAGTCATAGAACTGCTACATGTGAGATGTGGAAAGAGGTGAACATTATAATATTATAATATGAATTAGTAAACCTGATATAGGAAATTGAATTATAAAGCTAGACCAAACTTGTTTTGTTTTGTTTTGGAAACAGGAAGGTTTTAAAACCTCTGTCAGTTATTTTTTTTATAATCTGTGTCCCAATTGTGGAGACAACAGCAAAAGGTTTCCCAGCACAGTCACCAGCCAGCCTGCAAAAAAAAACCTGTCTAACCGCTAAGGCCTGGTTCACACCTGGGTGTTTTACAGCGCGTTCCTACGCTCTGTAAAACGCTCAACATGTGAAAACCAATGATTGCCTATGGGCATGGTTCCCACCTGGGCGTCTTACATCGCGTAGGAACGCGCTGCAAAACGTCCTACGCCCAAAGAAGTACAGGAGCTTCTTTGGGGCGTATTTGCAGCGCGTATCCATTGGGATACAGCCAGGTAGCCCTCGGAAATGCGCGTTTGTCGCGCATTTTTTTTACCGCGGTAAAAGCGCACAGCACGAAACGCGCGACAAACGCGCATATTCGATACGCCTAGGTGTGAACCCAGCCTAAGGTTAAAAACAGAGGTTTTAGATACATGTCTTCTGCAGAATATGTGAAAGCCGCACAGCCACGCCAAGGCTCCTCTGTATACTGTGGACCTAACTCTCTGCAGAGGTCCTAAACAGTATTATAGCTCTGCAATCAGCAAAGCTCATGCTCCTTGCTGATTGCAGAGCCCTAGCTCTGACTCAGCAGTGGCATGTCAGATCACTGCAGCGAGACCCCCGACTTCCAGGGAGTAAGGACTTTTTCACACCATGTCCTTTGAGCTGCGTTCTATACACAACCCCACATGTTTGGTGTGAACAGAGCCCATAGAACACAATGGTTTTCTATGGGCCCTGTTCATACCATACATGTGTGATGGTGT